AATGTATCGATAATTTATTACGCGTACTTATTAAAGTATCGACACTTTCAATATATCCAGTAGCACTTTACCGGTTTTGTCATTTCGAGATCGGTTTTGTCATATGTTTACCTGTTATATCGTTATGGATCGATACATTTTTATAAAGTATCGACACTTTATAGGCGCTATTACTGCTTCTCTTTTAAATTCTCAAAGTGTCGATACTTATATTAAAGTATTGAAACTTTCAATATATCCGGTAGTGCTTTACCGGTTTTGTCATTTCGAGACCGGTTTTATCATATTTTTACATGTTATATCGTTATGGATCGATATATTTTTATAAAGTATCGACACTTTATAGGCGCTATTACTGCTTCTCTTTTAAATTCCCAAAGTGTCGATACTTATATTAAAGTATCGACACTTTCAATATATCCGGTAGCGCTTTACCGGTTTTGTCTTTTCGAGACCGATTTTGTCATATTTTTACCTGTTATATTGTTATGGATCGATATATTTTTATAAAGTATCGACACTTTATAGGCGCTTTACTGCTTCTCTTTTAAATTCCCAAAGTGTCAATATTTATTTCAATCTAATCGATACTTTCAACATATCCGGTAGCACTTTACCGGTTTTGTCATAATTAAACCAGTTTTGTCATATTTTTACCTGTTATATTGATATGGATCGATACATTTTTTATTTGGATCGACACAAACCGACAAGTTAAGTTTGCCGGTTGCCAAATTTTTTAATATTTTTTCATGATTTACACCTACTATATTATTATTACTCAATATTTCCTGTAGTGCTAAACCAAATTTGTTAAATATCTTTTAATATATCCAGTAACGCTGTATATTAGCCCGCCTTTCCTGAGACAACCCCCACTTTTTCCTTTTTAAAAATCATACTAAATGTTTCAAAAAAATTAATTTAAGTGATTAAAATAAGAAAACGATTAAATTGAAAAAAATTATATTTAATGAATAAAATAGGAATAATAAGATAATTAAACACTTAAATTTCAAAAAAGTATTAATACAAAAATAATATTAATTTTAAATTATTTTGAAGATTACTAATTTTTTGTGTCACATAAAGTAAAGACGCATCATGTCACTGTCATGTATGAAAACGCATCTTATAAATTAGTGCATGATTTTTTCTGTCCTAACTTGACACTTTCTCATGTTTACTATAAAAAATCATATTTTTTTCTTTTAATTAACTGTAGGCTTTGTAAATGAACTGAACGTTCAGCGAACAGTTCATGAATAAGATTTTGCGTTCGTTTAATTAAATGAATGAACACGAACAAAGGGCTCGTTCGTTCATTTATGTTTGTGAACGTTCGATTATATGTTCACTTATGTTCGTTCATTTATGTTTATTTATGTTTGTTCATTTATGTTCGAACAGAGGGCAAGTTGAATGTGTTATGAAGATTATTGAAGTTGTTTGGATTTCAAGAAGATTGTTTTGTTGAATAAATTAACTTTAAGACTTTACTATGTTCATATAGCTTATTTATGATTTATGTATATTTTTTTCGTATTCGAACAAATTAACTCTAAAGTTGCAGGTTATATTAATGAGTTTTAAGTTGTTATTCTTGTTGTTTACTTTTTTTTTACATTAATTTGTTGTGTTCAAATAAGTTTGTTTTGTGTGTTTGTGTTGTTCGTTTATTGTGTTCGTTTATGTTCATTTATTTTTGTTCGTTTGTGTTTGTTTACGCTCGTTTATGTTCGTTTATCATTTAAATGAACGAACATGAACAAGCTATATTTCTTAATGAACGAACATGAACAAAAAAAATTTTGTTCGTTTATGTTCGTGTTCGCTTATTTATTAAATGAACGAACATGAACATATCTCCATTCGTGTGCGTTCGGTTCGTTTACAGGACTAATTAACGATCTCTCATCATCGACAACGTCCTTTATCTCCACAACAATATTGGCAGGCATCACAAAGTGATGAAGGAACATCTTAATATTATTGTTTTGATGTAAACATTTTAAAAAGAGAAAATAACTTCAGTAACCGAAAATGTCTTATAATATACGATTTTAACTAATTTTTTTTGGATTTACGAAAATGACCAACAAATTCGCAATGCGAACTCCAATTTCGCAACTCATTTTTAAAATCGCAACTCTAATTTCTTTTCCGCAACGTGATTTTCCAAATTCACAACACGAATTTGTAATTCGCAACGCAGAAGTCAAATTCGTAAAGCGAGTTTATTTTTGCAACTCGAATTTTATTTTCAAATTCGAAACACAATATTAATTTCGCAACACAAATGCAAACAATAGAATCGCAACTCATAACCTAAAATCCTAAAGCACAACTCAGTCTCATCTCCATCTCTCACTCTCTACGGCGACATCCGTCCCCATCTCCGGCGACATCCGTCCCCATCTCCGGTGACATCCATCCCCATATCCGGCGACCCCCTCTATCTACATCTCTCAGAGCCACCCTCACAACCATTCATGACCACAAATGAAAAATCAACCACCGAGGGTTAGTTTTTTTAATTATTTTTATTTTAAAATTTTTGTATTATTATTAGATTTTTCATATTTAAATTGATGATAAATTTACTGCTAATTTCAATATATAGATTAACCATTTCACTTAGATTGCTTACTAAATTCATTCAGTTGCTGCCAATACTGCTAAATTGTTTAGTCTTTAACCCTGTGAAGTTATTTGTCTTTTGGTTGAAGTAATGCAATTCATTCAAGTTTCAATTTGCAGAAGAATAGTTTTTGTAACTTAAATTCGCAACACGAAAATCGCAACGCGATTTTAGTTTCGCATTGCGATTTTCATTTTCGCGTTGCGATTTTCATTTTCGTGTTGCGAATTTAAGTTTCAAAAACTACTCTTCTTCTGTAAATTGAAACTTGAATGAATTGCATTACTTCAACAAAAAAACAAAGATAAATACTAACTTCATAGTGTTGCGAATTTACGTTTCAAGAATAAACTACTACTCTTTATGTTGTCCTTGAACCTGCACTAAACCAATATGTTGTCCATTTAAATGTTTATATAAGTGCTTACTTCTGGAATGTTATCTGATGCATTTTGTGAACTATAATAGAATAATGACTTGGGTGAATACAGTGATAGTTTGAAACATATTTGGCTATATTTTCCCTGTTTAATATCATGTCTGTTTATAGTGTATAATTTATAGTTTTTGGTATATCTAACATGGTATGTTTATTGTTTTTGTTAGGAAATTTTTTCGGCTTCATTGACTATAAGGAATAAATTAAGCCTAGCCACTACAATTGCGTCGACACTTACACCTATACAAAGAAATTTGTTTGAGAAAACTTGTTTCGGGCCATGGCTGAAAGTACAACATCCAGGTGGAGATGCTATGTTGACCCATTTGTTTCTTCAGACCATGACTAACGATCTACCCAAGAGGATACAACGTGGTGATGAAGAGATATAGTTTTATTTTCCACTGGCGTATACTTGTTTTGGGCGGGAGGATTTTGCTTAATAACTGGTCTACGTTTCGGACGACACGATGAAGTAGGTCGGTACACTAATCATATCGCCCGCCCATCATGGTTATTTCGGGTTTTCCTGAGCTGGCAAAGGCAAAGCCCATTTTACACGTCAACGATTTGAAAAGATTACTTTTTAAAGATCGTTTTACTCGGATGGATGACCTTGATGTTATCCGAGTATGCCTTCTATTACTTTTGAATGCCAGCTTTTTAGGCAAAGAGGGCAGACAACCTATTTCTGAGGATTTAATATTATTGGTAGAGGACCTAGATGAATGAAACGTGTTTTCGTGGGGTTCATATCTATGGAAAGCTACCTGGAAAAAGTTGTCGTCTGCCTTTGAGGACCGTCGTAGTTTGCGTGGCCATGGTTCCAAATACACTTTGGTAGGCTTTATTTGGGCCTTTAAGGTAAGAATTTCTATATAATGTTTCCAAAATTATAATTAATTATTTAACAATTACTAAAATTAATGTTTGTGTATTATATTATTTGTAGATTTGGATATTTGAGGTTTTTCCCAGTATGCGGACATATGCCATCAAAAAGTCAAATGATATTCCTAGGGCTATTACCTGGAGGAGGATCCGACTGTTGGATTGGGAAGATTTACTACCATATACGATGATGAATGATGTAAGTTAACACAAATACTACCATATATAAACAAGTTATTACTAGTAGACGTTTGACTTTTTTGAGCTTTTATATTGTTAGGAGGCAAACTATCCATTACAGAGGCTGACACGCACAGAGGCTGAGCTTGCCACTGATTGGTGGCAAGCTAGTAAACATTTTTTATGGGACGGATGATGAGAACCCCCCACTTCGAGATCCATCACCTGATCGAGCCGATTCTACAGCTCGACACCGAGAGCCATCACTTAATCGGGCCAATTATACACCTCCACACCGAGAGCCATCAGCTATTCACTCACATCATCGAGCCTCTTCTCCACCATCACCTCATGATAGGCGACCGACAAAGATGCCACGATATTTATCTCTCCGTTCTCCACCTCCACGGGATGAGTTAGGGGAGTTACGTGATGAGGTCAGTGCTTTGCGTGATGAGGTCGGTACTTTACGTGACGACAATGGTACATGGCGTGATGAGGTACGATACTTACGTGGTGAGGTAGATGATTTACGCGATGACAATGGTGCTCTACATGGTGAGGTATCTACTTTACGTGATGAGGTAGCCGCTCTACGTGAGATTGTTTCATCGTTACAGAATGAGGTTCATACTCTACGCAATGAGGTAAGTTTGTTTAATACTATACTAAAAATGCAAATAACATTTTTTCAGCATTATTTATTTATTTACTGAATTATGTATTAATTTATTTTTAGCGGCCGATAAAGTAGATGCTTTACGTCGGGTTTTTTTTGTACGACGGGGTTTACGCATCAGACATCGTGCACATGCCATTACGTCTCCTTTCACCCCAATAGTTCCAAAAATGCGTAAGAAGAAGTCTGATTCACTTGTCATCGTTCAAGATACCCCTCCTATCATTAAAGAAGCCCATCCCATCGTTCAAGAGGCCCCTCTCATCGTTCAAGAGCCCGTCCTACCGTTCAAGAGCCCGATTCACATGGAATACTATGTCGACATATTGATAAACCCCCTCTCGTGCCCGGTATGATGGATCACAGTTGGCTTTCATATCAGTTACCGGCCAGTACCATTTCTCAGCAGGAGAGGAGAACACTACCGGACACAATTATGGATAATACCCTTTGGGTTAAGACCGCAGTTGATTTTATTCTACATGAGCGGAGCCAGGGGTGCTACGCTAACATATGCAAAATCGACGATAATATGCATTTGTTTCTTTAGCGGTCTTGGTAGGGTGTTTTATTAGGGGTTGAAGAGAATGGCTATTTCGAATGAGGGGTAAGTCTTATATTCTTCTTATATTGCATTTTGATTATTTTTTTTATAATTTATTAAATTCACTAATATATGTATTTTTTTTATAAAACAACATATTGATGCATAGGTGTCACGGTCGCGGTCAGGCAAATATGCCCCCATCGTCTAGCGGTTTAGGATATCTCTCTTTCAAGGAGGCAGCAGGGATTCGACTTCCCCTGGGGGTAGGGTACTACGAAAGGAAGTTGATCATGGATTATCAATAAACCTAGAATTGATTCTTCCTGGGTCGATGCCCGAGCGGTTAATGGGGACAGACTGTAAATTTGTTGGCAATATGTCTACGCTGGTTCAAATCCAGCTCGACCCAATAATTCGCTGATCCGCCATAACATAAAATGCCCATTTTTTTGTATTTTCTTTTCCAGAAAAGCCAAACAAAAAAAATTAGGGAAGAATAAAAAAGTCTAATTTTCTGATATATGCATCCCTACCGCTATTTGTTTTTTATTTGTTCTATTTATTTAGTTGTTCCCATAAATTCTGACCTTGATAACGCTCTAGATTCATATCAGTATCATTAAATAGAAAGTTTAATGAAAAGAAAGAGTAAAGTAAACAAAAAAGACTCTTTTTTTCATTTTTAAATTGATCGATTTATTTGGCAATAACGAAAGGATTACTAGTTACTAGTAATCCGCGTTGCTCTCACTTAAGTGCATACCCGTATGGATATCAATATATCACTCGCGCCTTTGTTTGTTACAACACGGCGATTCGAATCGAAAATATAAAAAATGGCTTGAATGAAATCATAAGACTATCTATGCTGTACACTTTTCTTTATTTCCCTGGGATTATAGTTCAATTGGTCAGAGCACCGCCCTGTCAAGGTGGAAGCTGCGGGTTCGAGCCCCGTCAGTCCCGATGGATACAATTAAAAAAATACATCAATTGATCCCTCCGTTTTCTGATTATAAGGAAATTGAAGAAAATAAAAAAGACGTGATGGACTATTATGCCTTCGTCTTTTCACGCAGCTCAGTTGAAGGATCAGAGAGACGCTTTATATGCGTTGGGTAATGGAAAAACTATTCTTTATCCTGCGTGGTGGGAGGTCGATAAGGTTAGTATTTATTTTTGCATATTTAAAGGTGTTCATAAATTTTATTTGATGTGCGCAATTGAATTATTATTTATGATTGCAAGTATTTATCCCTGTTATAGAACGTCGTCATTGGCTTCTCATCGAGCTTCAGCTCCCATCCCTGAAGATGATAGTATATGACAACATGTTGAATTATATACCATTGTCTGATTTGAAAGATATTATTTGTAGGGGATGGAGCGCTCATTTGGCTAAATACTTGGATGTGAGTGATTATTGGACTAATTCAGGAAACAAGAAGCCAAATAAGTTAAAAGTTACAATGATGAGAGACGAGACATCGCCACAACAAACGGTGGGAGCCAGAGGGGATTGTGGTCCTCTTGTATGTATGTGCTTGGAATGAATGACGACAGGAGGTAAATAGTTTCTACCTCCCACAGATAGAGGTGTAGTAGGGTTGTTGTTTCGGTATTTTATGGCTAGAGAGATATATGCTAGATGTTGTCTACCTGCATCCGCGTGCTAAAAGTGTGCATAAACAACCATTTGTTATTGGTATGTTTGAGCAAATGTTGTTAACATATATACTCTTTGTTGGTTTGAAAATGTTTGGTTAAGTACCTAGAATTCAATAATTTGTTATTTGTTGGTTTTAGATGTGTAGAAAATCGCATGGCCATAACGTTTCTGCAGGTTAATCCTGAATTGAGCTGTATGAAATTGATGTATTTGGATGTAAGCTCCCTATTGTTAATAATATTTGGATGTACTGTCTGGGGCTAATTGTATCAATGTGATGTCAAGTGTAAATATGAATTATTATTTTGTTTAATTGATTTGTTGTTTAATTTCAATCTGCATTATGTTGAAGGTAAAAAAGACATGTTAAAGGTACACTTTCGCGTTGTGAATTCAAGGAAAACACCTTCAAAAAGATAACAGACAACAATATGATAAGTGATAACAGTTGAATAGATCATAGCAATGTTCAAACTCAAGTTACTAATGCATTTCTAACGAAAAATGTATGCATTCACACATAAATTACACATAATACAACGTTTGCATTTAAAAATCACCTAAGTTAATAAGTCCCAAAAGGTGAATCCAGTTGTGATTGAGATTTTGATTGCGATTGCAATTTTGATTTCCTTTTGCTTGGCACCATATGAGCTTTGGATTTTGATGAGGATCCATATTTTGGTAGAGGAAAAGATGACTGTGATGGCACTGGTAACCACAGGTCAACCTTATATGACCACTTTCCTTGCACCGACTACATGTCGATATCCTCTTCTCTTCACCCTTAGACGGTATATGATCATAATTTTTTGGTCGGCCAGGTAGCATGCTATCCATGACTGGTGGCAAAACTGTTTGTAAGTCATCTGGTATGTCTCACTCAGAAAGATGTGGAATAGGGTAGACAATCTCGGTATAAGTCTGTCGATATACTTCTGTAGTGTAGCAATCCATAGCGTATGCGCTTGAATCATCTTGGTTTAGATGAAGAGCAACTTTTATAACATGGCCACATGGATAACCAGACATTTGCCATTTCATACAACTATACGTCTTTGCATTTAGATCGACAAGTCCATTTAAGTTATTATCCAATACTTCAAACAAAGTGTTTGAACATGGTTCAACTCTCTATGACGTTGACTTCTCAACACGTTTCGTTATCTTTTTTTCAGTCCATGGTGTAACACGACGTTCCAATGTTCCTTTAAATTTAAATAAATAATACTTAGTAAAATATATTAAATATGATAAGTTACGAATTTAAAGAAATAATACCTCCATGGTTTCTTTTCTTGTAGTAACACAGTTGAATAGAGGCTCGAAAAAACTCCATTAACATAGTATTGGGTAATTTTAGGGAATGACGACTTAGAGCGTTGATTGATTTTGCACTATTAAACGTCATGAAACCATATCTTGCTCCAAGTTGATGTACTCTTGACCATCTTTCAAACCCGACATCTTCTAGTGTTTGAGCACATTGAGGCAAAACACGTCTTAAACAATTTATATGCTTATTAAAATCCACTTCCCAATAAGCTTTTACAGCCTTCCAGTATGTCCATTTGTAATTTTTTATACCAGCAGACCTTGATTTTAGATTTCTGTACAAATGAACACCACAAAGTCCATGAAAAGCATATGGAAACACCTTCTAACAGCGTTGACAATTGAGTTTTCCCTATCGGATATGATTGTCAGATTGCTAATAGGACCTATGCAATCCCTAAGATGCCCCATAAACCATGTCCATGAATCAGAGGTTTCAGATTTGCCAACCCCGTAAGCTATTGGCAGTATCCCATTGTTAGCATCTATGGCTACTGCTAATAAGTTTGCTCCAAGATATCGACCTTTCAAATGTGCTCCGTCAACTATAATAACTGGGCACATACAAGTAATAAACGAACGAATCTAAAAAATAATATACACAAGAAATATAATCATTTAAATGTGAAATGCATGTAACTAACAAAAATGAGTCAACAAAATTATATTGATTTACTAACCGTAGCACCAATGGCGATAAACATCAACTCGAAGCATCCATCTCTATATGTTTTGATATGAGTTACCGACCCATGATTTTTCAGCTTTAAATTGTGACAATAAGCCGATAGTTGGGCAAACGATGCTTCTGGCTACCCCCTCAACAATTCCAAGGCATAACATTTGGCTCTCCAAGCTTGAGAATATGAGATACTAATCTTGAACCGAGCATTCATGTCAGTCATAATTTTATGTCCCCGATATACCCTGCCATTCAAAAACATTAACTCAGCCAGAAAACCACCCAACACCTTTTTGTTTGCCTGTCTATGGTGAGGAAAAACTTGGGTTCTTGAACATGTATGTTTATCAATAAAAGTCCTAACTTGAAACATTTCGCAATCTTTTATCCTCTTTGCAATCATACGCCACGTACAGTTTTTGTCAATCATACACTTTGTTTCGAAACGATCTTTGCTTGATTTGTTAACTTTTAGTTGATAGCCATCTTCCACACATTTTGTATACAAAGCTATCTTCAAGTCTTCCTTTGTATCAAAACAATAAGCTTTCTTGATACGAATAAATTTTGTGTAACAATCAACTGCTATCTTTACCAAATCTTCTTCCGGTATCTAAAGTAATTCTAGCATATTCGAGTTATACTCCCGTGGCATTTTCTTCTTTTTTTTTCTTTGGGGACTTCTTCTTCTTTTTCTTCTTCAGGGTTATATGAATTACATAATGGATGTTCAACATGTTCATTCACAGTCGTAACTTCCTCCTCATTATTATCAACAACATCTTCCTTGGTAGCGGCTGTTTCATCATCAAAATTTGGGTATTGACCAATATCAAAATCATTACACGCAGGGTCTGTTTCTTCTTCTGAAACATCATCAAAATCTGAGTATTGACCAAGATCAAAGTCTGGGTATTGACCAAGATCAAATTTTGAATATTGACTAGTACTCACAATTTTTTCTGTTGGCTCATCATCGTCTAACTGGTCAATACGAAAACCGGAATTTGGTGCTGAAAGTTTATTGGGATTTGGATTAGGGAAAGGTTGTGGGTTTTGAGATTGTGTTTGATATTGTGTTTGGTATTAGAAATGTGGTGAAACAAAATTTTCTTTGTGGTGAAACAAAATTTTCTTTGTGGTTAAATTGTGGTGGAACCATTAAATTTTGAGGTTGATAACAACGTTGTACATTGTGAGCACCATAAACTGAGGTTGAAGAACTTAGTTGATTACTACCCGCTACTGATCCAACTTCACTACTTCTAGGTTCAACAACATACAATGTAACATCATCTTCTTGCGAAATACTAATGTAAGCAATGAATCGTTCAACATCTTCATTGTCGGTTAACAAATAAACTTTACCTTTTCTCTGATAAGATAGCCTAAATCCACTTAGAGGCTCTAAATTCAATTTATTTGCAGCACGTAACATTAGAGTTTCATAAGTTAACTTTTTTAATGACAGTTTTAGTTGAAGATTCATGGGTAAAGGCATATATTGTAAAACACCATGAACATTCTCCCATGACCCTCCAAAACACAAATCTATCCAAATATGATCAACATTAGATGATTTCATTCTACAAATTTTAAATTAATTTACTAAACAAACGAGCTATAAACTAGATATCATCACTAACTTAGAGAAAAACATACTTTTATTAAGTTGATAGTTGATAATTTGGGAGAGAAATCACTGAAAAATTATATAAAAATAAAATTATGTAAAAAAAAATTAGAGATGGGGAAGGATGCCGTTAGATATAGGAACGGATGTTGCCCGAGAGAGTGATAGATGGAGATGGAATGAGTTGCGATTTAGGGATTTAGGTTATGAGTTGCTGCTGCTGCGTAGTTTATATACCCAAAACATTTGTGTTGCGAAAATAAAAGTTGTTGCGAAATTAAAATTCGTGTTGCGAATTCGAAAATCGAGTTGCGAAAAACAAAATTTGTGTTGCGATTTAGAAAATCTTGTTGCGAAAAGGAAACTTGTGTTGCGAAAAAGAAATTCGCGTTGCGAATTCAGAAATCGAGTTGAGAATTTGAAATTCC